CAGTAGTTCCATCCATCTTCTCTGTCTCAAGTTCAAATCTTTCTGAGTAAAGACATACTGTAGGCTACGATGATCCGTATAGACCTCACACTTAACCCCATATAAATAGGGTCTCCATTGCTTTAATGCAAACACTACCGCAGCCAATTCCAAATCATGAGTTGGGTAGTTATGTTCATGCACTTTTAATTGCCTCGAAGCATAAGCAATCACATTCTTCTCTTGCATTAGTACTGCACCCAAACCAGAATAGGATGCATCACAATAAACGATGAAGTTCTTACCCTCTACTGGCAAGGTAAGGATAGGTGCGGTAGTCAACAAAGTCTTGAGCTTCTGAAAGCTTTCCTCACATTCGTCCGACCATACAAATGGAACATTCTGCTTAGTCAAGTTCGTCAATTGGGAAGCAAGAGAAGAGAATCCCTTGACAAATCGACGGTAGTAGCTAGCTAACCCAACAAAGCTCCTTATTTCTGACACATTAGTAGGTCTCACCCAATTCTTCACTGTCTCAATCTTAGAAGGATCCACCATCACTCCATCCTTAGAAACCACGTGCCCCAAGAAGGACACTGCATCTAGCCAAAACTCACACTTAGAGAACTTGGCATAAAGCTTTTTCTCCCTCAACATTTCCAATACCATTCTCAAATGCTCTTCATGTTCCTTCTTGCTCTTTGAGTATACTAATATATCATCAATAAATACAATCACGAAGAGGTCCAAATATGGCTTAAAAATCCCGTTGATCAAGCTCATGAACTCAGCAGGGGCATTCGTTAGACCAAAAGACATCACTACAAATTCGTAATGCCCATACCTCGTTCGAAAAGCAGTCTTTGGCACATCTGTTGCCCGTATTATCAATTGATGATAACCGGATCTCAAATCAATCTTAGAGAAGACACAAGCACCTTGTAACTGATCGAACAAGTCATCAATGCGGGGAAGAGGATACTTGTTCTTTATGGTTACCTTGTTTAGTTGTCTGTAGTCTATACACATTCGAAAACTCCCATCCTTCTTCTTTACAAACAAAACCGGAGCACCCCAAGGAGATGCACTTGGTCTAATAAAGCCTTTGTTCAATAACTCTTGAAGTTGTGCCTTTAACTCTCTTAACTCCGCGGGAGCCATTCTATAAGGGGGTATAGAAATGGGGCGTGTGCCCGGTTCGAGATCAATACAGAAGTCAATATCCCTATCCAGTGGCATACCAGGAAGATCTGCAGGGAACACATCCAGAAACTCACGAACTACTGAAACCGACTCAATTGAAGGTACTTGGGTAGTGTCATCCTTGAGATGTGCCAAGAAAGCTAAACACCCTTTACTAATCATTTTCTTAGCACGAAGAAAGGAGACGATGCGGACCGGATTGGAAGTGTAGTCACCTTTCCACACTAACGGGTCTGTCCCAGGCTTGGCTAACGTCACCGTTTTAGCATTACAATCCAAGATTGCAAATTGCGGAGAAATCCAAGTCATACCTAGAATCACATCAAAATCATCCATTTCTAAGATAACCAAATCTACATAAGTGTTGCTCCCCACAAAGTTTACCAAACAAGACCTATATACCTTTTCAACTACCACAGACTCACCCACCGGAGTAGAAACACGAATAGGCATATCAAGAAATTCACAATATAAATTTAGACCATTAGCAAATGAGGAAGATACATAAGAAAACGTGGATCCAGGATCAAACAATACGGAAGCCATGCAATCACAAACCAGAAGATTACCTGTGATGATAGCATCAGATGCCTCCGCTTCAGACCGCCCAGGGAAAGCGTAACAATGGGCCCTATCGTTCGTCTGTCCGTTGCCCCTACCATGTTGTGATGTAGGGGCTCCAGTTTTCCCATTACCTCTGCCGTTTTGGTGACCACCATTACCTCGACCACCACGTCCTCCAGAATAACGGCCTCTACCATGACCACCTCTACCTCTAGCTATTGGGGGTCTATAACTTTGTCTGGGACAATTTTTCCTAATATGTCCAATCTCCCCACATCCATAACATTCTCTGGAGTCAAGCATAGGCCCCTCGGAGAAGTGTTGACCGGTCTAAGGTGGTCCCCCAACTACAGTCTGTAGTGAAGACTGAATGGGTCGGACTGAGTAACTTCCCGAACCCTGTCCTCTAGTGTAAGTACCATTAAACTCACCTCCCTTTCGAAACATTTTTGATGTCGATGTCGTAGTGAAGTCGTCTGGCTTCACCCCTTCCACTTCTATCACAAAGTCTACCACCTCTTGAAAGGATTTTGCCGTTGCCGCTATCTGTAAGGCCGAAATCCGCAATTCTGACCTCAACCCCTTCACAAACTGGCGAATTCGCTCTTGAGGACTGAAACAGAGTTGAGTGGCATATCTTGATAGTGCACGAAACTTAGCCTCATATGCATTAACCGACATCCTACCTTGCTCTAGGCTCAAGAACTCATCTCTTTTCCTATCCCTCAAAGTTCGGGGGATATACTTCTCCATAAACAAGCTAGAGAAGGAGGCTCAAGTCATAGGTGGTGCCTCTATTGGTTGACACTCGATATGTGACTGCCACCACATTTTGGCGTTCCCTTGAAACTGATAACTCACGAACTCAACACCAAACCGTTCTACTATACCCATCTTGTGTAGTAGCTCATGACAGTCAACCAGAAAATCGTAAGCATCCTCAGATTCAGCACCCTTGAAGACTGGAGGTTTCAATTTCAAGAACTTACTGAAAAGTTCATGCTGATCACTTGTCATTACAGGTCCTGTAGTCAGACGAGGAAATGTGCTTATTTCCAATGGAACATCCATGCGGGGAGCCATAGTAGCCGCATGTTGTACCTCCGGAGCCTGAGGTGCTGGTGCAGAAAACACTGGGGGTGTCTGGCTCTGATCAGACAACCCGCTAAGATAAGCCAGAACCTGATTGATCATCTCTGGGGTAGGTTGGGGTGGCATTTCCTCATTTTGCACTTGTTCAGTTTCCCCATCCCCCCCTTCTCTTATTACCTCCTCAGTCGGTGGAGGAGTCACTGCCCTAGTATCAGATGGGCTAGGTGCTCGTCCTCTTCCCCTAGAGGACGTCCTCCCACGACCTCTACCACGGCCCCTTGCCGTTGTTCTTCCTCTAGCCACAGCCCCAGTGAATGGCTCAGTTGTTTCTTGTCTGGCCGGTGTTGGTGTTGGCGTAGTTGTTGCTCTAGTTCTAACCATCTGCGAAAGAGAGTGAAGATGGTCAGATACCAATTCGTATCGCCTAGATACCAATTGGACTCAAGTAGTAGCACGAAAGAAAGAATGAAAGAGTGAAATTTTCCTAAAGTCTTATAGCTTCTCAAAGAAAAGTAAAGGCGTCCCCCTACCGTTCCTTAAGACTAGAACTGTTTTTGTGTGATGAGACCAACGAACCTAATGCTCTGATACCAAGTGCGCAACCTGTGATGGGCCGTCGTGCCTGCGACGGTCCGTCCTGCAGGTTGTCGCAAGGGTCAGAGAGTCAATTTCCACTGAACAATCTATGACGGTCCGTCACTCCTGTGACTGTCCGTCCTGCCATTCTGTCACGAAGTTCAGAGAGTCGATTTCAGTACCCAAATTTCAGAATTTCTAAGTGTTCTGAAACGAGACCCTGCGACGGTCCGTCGTGCCCATGACGTTCCGTCGTGGGGTCCGTCGCGGGGTCCGTCGCTTCTGCCTGTTTTTCCAGAATTGAAGTCTGTTGCTCAAAACGACTAAACGGGTCGTTACACAATTCAACACACGCCACATATGTTTATTAATTTTCATTGTACTAAAAGAAGAAAAAGTTGTTAGAATGATATTATGTGTCTTCGAAGAACATATCTTTATAGCACATAGATTAAGGTAAATTTTTGTTAGAATTAAGTGTATCTATAAAGTCAAAACATTATATATGATCGATCTCAAACTTGCACCTTTTATTATTTAATAATAATTTGTATTAATTATCTTTAAGTTATGGAAAGAGTAATACATTTATTGTAGATATAATGAAGCACATTTGCAAATGTATATAACCTATTTAAAGTAAATAGGTTCAGTTAAAAAATAATCTTCTAACATATTTGATAACAATCAGCAACAAAGAAAAATAACAGTGTATGCAAGAGTAATACATTTATTGTAAATAGAAAAGATTTGGAAATTTCTTAATGTTCTGATACTAAATAAGTAAAATTAATTAGAAGATAGAAAAGAGTCATTACAAGTGTATCAACATTAATAAAACAATTTAAATTTTAAATTGAGATAAGTAGCTATTAAATTTCCTTAATACTATTTACTCTTCTGTATATAACATTTCTATTTGTTTTTTAACTTTTCTTTCAAAAAAATATAAGCATAATAATATTTAAAAAAATAATATTTTCCATTCAAAATTAGCGGTAATATGTGAAAAATTGTATACACTAATAGTACTTTAAACTTAATCTTATTAAGATTGATATGAATTAAGATTTAAAAAAAAATATATTCCATTATGTAATATTATTCTTAAAAATTTTATAATTATTTGATATTTGAAATTCCGTAGACTTTAGTAATTGAAAATTATGTTTTGTACTACCCATTCAATAAAGAATTATTTTATTTACCAAGAATTTTTCTTTACAAAAGTTCAAATTTTGAGAAATTTAATTACAAATAAAAAGATTTGGTAAAAAGATGATCTCACTTCTATAATTTTCATCTTTTATTCTCGTCCAACCCTTTCTTTAATATTTTAAATCAACAAACAACTAATATACAAAAGGAGAAAAGGTATACTAAAGCATTTTTTAGAAAAAAACATATATTAATATAGAAAATCATAACAAAATACATACTTGTAGCATTACTGAAACAAACTAAAACAAAACATAAAATAAATCATATTGCAAAATTCTAAAATAATATTAATTTGAAATGATAATAACTTGGGGTGATATCACTTATGAAGTTGCACGTGCATTTTTCAATGATGAAGCCTCATTTTACAACTTCTCCAAACGATAATTCATTTTAGAGACGGTGGTTCTTAACCATGCTTCAAATGTTGGTATTTCATTTGCATTTAATTGATCAATCGATTTCCACTTACTTCTTTCGCCATTTTCTTCCATTTGACTAAGTTGAAGTAGTGTTTGAGCATGTTCAATTTCTTCTATTTGCTCAATCCTTTTCTCCATAGCATCTAGGCGATTGTTGAGTTGATTCATCTTATTTCGTGCTTGATCCGCATCTAGGCGAGTTTTTTCACTTAGTTGTGAATCGGGATTCAAAAAACGTTCAATGACTGCTTCACTTGTTGGGTGAAAAAAGGAGAAAGGGTGGTTTGATGGTGAAAATAGTACTATTCCAATATCAACATCACAGAAATTAACAAGTTCGTTTGCCATTCTGTATAGACTCGAGCGACGGTTGAAAAATGTTACATCGCTAACACGTTGATTTTCTATTTTTGAAATTGGAAATGTTTGTCTCACTCTTGTCTTCTTGCTATCCATTGCTAAAATTTTAAAGAACAAGAATAAAATAAAAGTTTATCTAAGGACGCCTTTTTTTTTTTGCTTGGAAAAGAAGAAGAAGAAATGACACTTCTGAGAAATAGAATACAGAGGCACTATATATATATACATCAAAAACTTCTATACAATAAATTTATCATCAAATCGTGTGATTGAAAATAGTCAAAGAAATCTGACATTTTAAGCTAAAAAGGTAAATATTTTAAAATACATTATAACATTGCCAATTGTGGTTACATATCATAAAGATTATTAAAAAGAATACCAATTATGCACAATTTTCTTTAAAAATTTATAGTCAAAGTCAAAGTCAAAATCAAATATAATTTATATAAAAATTTGAATAGATATGTTTCAATGGATTAAGATAATAAAAAATTCAAACTTTTCATATTCACTAATGTTAATCAAATACAAAATTTTAACTTTAGTTAAATACTGAAAAGAAGCATTATAAGTGAACCAACTATAGTAAAAATCTAAATTTAATTTGAATAGGTAAATATTTATGTACTTACTAAGTTTAGCACACTTTATTGACTTTTGTAAAGTGACTAGTTTTCATTCTTCTTGCCTTATTTTTAGACATCCAAGTAAGAAGTTCAACAGTTCTTCCTCTAATATTTATAGTTCATTCTTTTTCATTTCATCATTTTGTTGTGTTTGTATAACCCTGTTGTTTTCCACTTTTCTTACCATATTTGTTGAGTAGTTGTCTTCTTTAAGAGAATTTCTTTCTTCAACACTCATTATGAATCAACTAATATTTTCACTATACTTTTTTCATTATTAGGATGTGTCATATCAGGATCTATTCCATAAATGAACTATATACATTACAACTATATTGGGTACATTTGTAATTTTTATACGTTTTTTCTTAATAGTGTTTCCGTTCAATTTAATTGTTTGTTATGATTTGCTTGTTGATGTATATGATTATCATGTACATTTACATAATTCATGTGAATTAATCATATATGTAAATAAAATTCATGTATCATATACATTAAAATTTATGTATTATATGCATCATTTAGTGTCTAAATAGTCACATTACTTTAACTCAATAAGTTATGAGTGTGAAGCTTAACATTATAAAGCAACATAGTATAATGTATCTAAAAGCAATATATTGAAAATACAAATTTTAATAAATCACAAAATACTGTAATATGAATAAATTTTTAGAGAAATACTTTAAAATTTAAGTGAATTTGTTTTAAAAACAAAACAACATAATACACTTTTCATGTAAACATGGTTAAGTACTAATCTATATTAACCAAATCTTCTTTCGGTGGCATAGTGAATGACCCTTAAACTTTTATGGATCGTCATTCTCACTTATATATTCACCCTTGCCATTGTCACTATTGTATCAACAAAGAAATTCTTCGATCGGTATCAAGGTCTCATCAAGTTGATATAACATAAATATATGGACAAAGTATAAGATTGTCATCTGAAGAACGTTCTGTGTGGTCTCAATATACCTATAGTTGCATCGGGAAAGTATCTTTGTAATAATCGGCTGGGAGTAAATTTTGGGTATGAAAAATCCTTAACATTTTCTTTGCATTTAAGGCAAGTTACAGTGGCAAAATCCTTGATATTAAACTGCAATACAGTCCTGTTAGCATGTCGAACATGCAACAAATCTTTGTTCTCATGTTGCATCTCCAACAACAATAGGTACTTGATAATCTAATCCTAAAAATTGCATTTTGGAATGTGTAAATATGGTATAAAAGTTGTTTTCTTGAACAGTTCAATGGCTTCAATCTGTAAAGATTTTTTAATTTTATTCGCAAAATCAAAGTTGAACGTTGCTCCAAATCTCAATGAATGTACTGATATTTATATAACATAATTCATGTCCTGCAAATTCATAAAACAAATTATAAGATTGTACTTGTCTAATCTCAATCACATGATACAATTAAGAGTGAATGATACATTAAAGATAATTTGAAAATTCAGTATATACACCATAGTTTTATAATGACATTATAACAACCACATGGTATATTATGTATATGATACATGAGTAATTAACATCAATCCAACCAATAAAATACTTGAATCATTATCATGAACAAAATATATAAAACACTAACACAATGAAAAATACATTAATGGAGTAATAAATGAATTTGATACACAATCAAAACTGTACAAAAAATGATGAATTTACTATATTTGAAATTGAAATGATTGATGATACATCAATGAAAACATTAATGAATCTGAGATACATTTAAAAATTGAATCTATAACAATGTAGTGCTAAAAATTTGGGCTTCTAATTTATTAGGAAAAATCAATATTAACAGCATAGTACACTAACTTTGATATGTAAAATATGTACTTCATTGTTAAAGGACTTTTAATTGGACCTAATAGACTACATGCATCAATATAACATAAAATTAGGATTTTATGTATTAGCAAAATAAAAAAATTAACCAATTACAAATTAATAATTGTCTAACAGGCTAAAAGAACATTTCATTATAAGAATCATATTGTAACGACCATTTTCGATCGTTTTGAGCACTAGAACTTTTATGTCAGAAAATACTTTCGATTGATTTAAATAGGTGTTTTGGACTATTCATAATTATAACTATGAAATTAATGGGGTAGTTTTATTAATTTATTTAGTTAGTGGTTAAGAAAATAATATTAAAATTAATAGGGGTCACTTTTATCACTTTAATAATTGATTATATAAAAACTAGGGTTAAAAAAAAATCATAATCTGAAAAACAAAGAAGAAGGAAGAATCAGACGTGACAATAAAGAATTTTTATCTGCGGCGTCATTGAAAGAACAAATACAGGTAATATTATATCTATTAATGAATATGAAAAAAATGTCTTATGATTATTATAATTATGTTATTGTAATTAGGAGATGAGAAATTGAAAAGAATGAGTTTCATTGGAAAGTAACGATTCAAACCTTCTGTGGTTTGTTCACAACTCACTTGTGGTGTCTTTTTACTATTAAATTATTATCAAATTTTGAATTATAAATTATACTTAGAATATGGGAGAAACAAATTAGAGTTATTACTTAATTCTTTTGTTGAATTTCTTTTTAAGTTTGATGGATAATATTGAGTAATAATGGTCAAAGTTTTGGATGGGAAATTAATAGATAATGATGACTATTTGAGGAATGATAATTGGCAGCATATGATAGATTTAAAGGTTAGGATATATGGGTGTTCATGCTCTTGGTGGTAACGTGATTGCACTTAGTTAATTATATTATATTATAGCATTATTATTATGCCTATTACTATATAATCAAGATTAGGTGAATATGATTGGAAAATTAAAATCAAGTCATTATAGGAAGAAACTTAGGTGGTAAAATGGTTGATAACCAACATTAGGTTCTGGACGTGTTGTTAGTTGGCCACTGGTTTCGTAACCAGTGGCTTTCATCTTTGAATATTATAATAATTTGTTATCACATTATAGAATATATATTAATTATATTGAGATAGATAATTAAATATTAGGTGTATTGAGTTACTTGAATCTCATTAAGGTGATGTTAATGGAAGGAATTAAGATCTATCCTTAGGTTGAAATTTTTGGAAATTGATTATATAATTAGGTGAGTTTTTGGGTCTAAGCTAAACATAGACTAATCTGAGTGTTTATAAACTCGTTAACTTACAAATTGTGAATATATATACTTGATAGATTGAAAAGGTTCGGAGGCAATAAGGAAAGGAAAGGCATTGGAGAAGTAGTTACTTGACTTCAATTCTTCGGTGGAGGTAGGTTATGGTTTTTATACTATACGTAGTAAACTCTTAATAGCGAATGATATGTATGGGTAGCATTGTAAACCCTTCTATATGCTTAATTGTATTCTTGCATGAATGTGATTATGTAATTGGGATAAAATAAGCATGATGAAGCTATTGAATCCTAAATCTTGAGAAACCCTAATCTACTTTGTTAATGATGATGCCTTAGTGTAAAAGAAGGCTTGATGAACGAAAGTAGTGAGATTAGGGGATCGGGTGCCATGTTCCGGTACCAGGATAGTATATGAGGATCGGAGTGTCACGTTCCGACACCAGGATAGTATATGGATCGGGTGCCACGTTTCGGTACCAGGATAGTATATGAGGATCGGAGTGTCACGTTCCGACACCAGGATAGTATATGGATCGGGTGCCACGTTCCGGTACCAGGATAGAATATGGATCGGGTGTCACGTTCCGACACCAGGATAGAATAAGGATCGGAGTGTCACGTTCCGACACCAGGATAGTATATGAGGAGCGGAGTTTTCACGTATCGACACGAGAGGAATAAAGATAATGAATCTTGAAAGATGTTAATATACTCAACCTAATGAACCTAATTCCCAAATGAGTATGATGAGGAGGCGTGAGTCCTCATTGATGTGCTTGGTGTTGTAACCAAGGGTTATGGTAGTTGTAAATGCGGCATGCTAAGGATATTAGTTGATTTTATGATGTTATCTGATATATACTGTTTTCTATTTTGAGTTGGCCGATGATACCTACTCAATACTTGTGTTTGTACTGACCCCTACTTGTATTTGTTTTCTTTGTAAATTGTGAAGTGCAGCAAACGTACCGTCTCTTCAACTCAACCGCAACTCTAGTCAGTCTTCATTACTCCGGATATCAGGGTGAGCTAATGCTTCTAGCTTGGACTGGATCCTCCTCTTCATGTCTTGATGCCTTGAAGTTCCGGCATAGACTAGCTGTTTATGTATTTTAGCTTCTTAGATACTCTTAGATTTAGTAATTTGAAGTAGATGTTCTTGTGATGATGACTTCCAGATTTTGGTGATAATAATAGTTGTTGAGT